CCCCCCCCCGACGCCGTTGTTATTTACCTTTAATGATAAAACCTCTTCTTCTTGTTCGGAATGAACAGGCAAATGTTGCAATAAGTTGTTGCCTTCACAATAAAGTTCACGCAGTGGTAAGCAATGCAACTATAACAACAGAGAATATTAAGAATATATATTTCTACGGAGCGTTAAGTTGCTGGAGTTTTCAAAGATCGCACTAACAAGTTACTGTAGCTTTTGGACGAGTTCTAATGTAACTTATTCAGGGGCCGATTACATGGAGGTTTTCAGCTCGGGATGAAATTTCAGCCCGGGGCCCCTATAAACTCAATATAAAATGAATTTTACGATTACATGGAAAAAATTTCAACCCGGCTGAATTTCAGCCCGGGTTGAAATTTTCATCCGGACCCGGTTTATGTCACCCGGGATGAGATTTTCAGCCCTGTCAACCGGGATGAAATATCCCATGCATGTAATCGCAAATAATTTCAGCCCGGGCTAAAAAAAATAATCGTTTAAATGACTTTATTTTGCGTTTCGTCTCATCTTTCATACTTTATATGCAACCACAGTCTTACACAAGTCAAATAATCGACTAATTGGCGTTTTAAATGCTCAAACAAGCGGAATATTGCCTTTTGTGATATCGTATGATTTCAGTCTGGGATAACATTTCAGCCCGGGTTTGTTTACTATACAAGGGATAAATATAGCTCTAGTTTAAAACTCAGCCCGGGCTCAAACTGCAAAGGTAATCGTGATGCTATTTCAGCTCGGTTTACCGGGCTGAAAACTCTCCATGTAATCGGCTCTTCAGTTTCTCTCTCATTGGTGAGCGCCGATTTCCCAACAGGCTATTGTGCAATTGAAAGGGGATCCGAGGTAGCCACGATTTAAACTTTAACAACTTTATCGAAACCACAATATAAGAAAAATTCAAACAAATGGCTTAAAAGGGAAAAATGCGAACGGGACGGTAAACTAAGCATGGCCAGAAATCAGAGACAGTCAGCGAAATGTATTGCGGGCGCACAAATTCGCTAAATTCTGCAGCGTCAGCATAATACAGACAGACATATATAGGCTTGATAGGCGTCTCAACCGAACTTCGGAGCTAATTTTATATCAGTTAAAGACCGTGGCAACTATTTCCTTATTTACAGTATTTTAATTGATTGAACACAATAGTTCCTAAGTCCAAAACTACAAAAGTACATCAAAATATAGTGAATTTCACAGGATTTAAATTTGACTTTGGCGCGATTTTTTCCCTATTTTGGAGCCCCCTGTCCTTTATAAACAAGAATCAGCGGTTGTACGTACAAATGTTTTCAAAATGGTTGACAAGAACCCACGACAACGCTTTTAAAACGTTCATAGTTTTGGGATTTCGCAGTGCTTTGTCCAAAACACTTGGTATTAGCTTACAGTTCTCATGAAATACACGCTATTTTAAATGCATTTGGCGGAGCGCGTACAAGCTAAGATGAATCTAAATCAATGCAAAAGGAGAGATCAACTGTCGTACAAGAAATGTAGACGTAAACAATTCGTCTTCGAGCTCTTGGAGCAACACTACACTGGCCTCAACTTGGTAAACAATGGGGATTTTACTGTACTTAATAGGAGTTTACATTGCGAGATTATACTGTAAAATTGAGTTACTCGGGCGGAATAATGGCAAATCGTGACACGTCAAGAGTTACGGGGAACACCCGTCGAGGTATTTTGTACATTTCTAGACGTAAACATTTTGAAAATTATATTTTGTTTCAGCATGCGCATCGCATTTGTATGATTATAGTATTAATTCTTAGCATTTCCGCCATCTTGAATTCGCAAAATTGGTCAGTTGTGCGCATAGTTAGCAGCCATACTGTCCCGAATTTCTGGCCATGGTACGTCTAATTCCGGTACACTAGTGTTGGAGAAGATAAGGGCTTTATAGATGGAAATATCGAGTGCGAATTTTGTACATATATTAAACCTAAACAGGAGCAGTTGCGAAAAATGGAACTACTGCATGTATACACGGTATGCCCTCTGACAGGAATCGGACCTGCTGCCCTGTGATTCCTGTGCAGCGCTCTATCCAACTGAGCTACAGAGGCCAGCTGTCCAGCTCTAATCGCAAGTTTATGTACGCCCGTATTCTAAAAGCTCACTCACACTCAATGAGTGGAGGTTAAGTCTGAGCTTCTCTTGAGTGTCAATGCTGTTTTTGAATAGCTGGAGGGCGAGTAGTCACCGAGTAAGGTATGACACTAGCCCTCCGGCTATTCAAAAACAGCATTGACACTCAAGAGAAGCTCAGATTAAACCTCCACTCATTGAGTGTGAGTGAGTGTGCTTTTAGAATACGGGCGGTAGTGAATTAGACTTACCTCAACCGGGAAGTATTTGATCAAATTGCAGGAAACATCCAAGCATTCTAATTTAGAGCATTTTGACAAACCCTGTATAAATATAAGTAATTCCATGGTGGCTCATGTTACATTTTGAACAAAACTATCAGTCTAGAGTAATTTTGATCTGGTGCAATAACTAATGTATATTTTTCTATTAAGTTTATCATTTCAAAGTTGTATCTTGAAAATTCAATATTGTTCATGTGTCTTGCAACAATAATTTTTTTAGCAAGTATGACGTTGTTCAGGCCGGATGAATGTACTGCAACGTTAACTTTGATAGAAGTTTCAGATTTTTATGCTTAAAGAGATTTCTCACCTGTCTATTCTTAAATACAGGGTTTGTGGTCCCTAACATTAAAGATTTGGATGTAACTAGAAGTTACTATCGCAAGGAAAGTGCTGCCTCACCAGCAAAGAGATGACACCATGCGCAATTTGCTGAATAATGGGCTGTTTATACGATCCCGCTTGCCAGGACGAGAAATGGGGCGGGATGATTTCAATGCATTGAAATGAGTCACAGTGCATAATTCAGCAAAAAAACTTATTTTCTAGAGATACACATAGATTATAGCATGAACTGTAAACAAAAGATTGTTCAAGCAGCAATAATAATGAACTTGAACTACAAAATCTTGTCTGTACAATATTTGAGTTCTGTTAACCAGCATTTAATTTACTTATTTACTTTGCCATCATACTAATACATTCATTGGCTGGGAAACCACAACAGCTATTGCTAATTACAGCAATAAAAGCTAATTAGCCTAGTGACTTATTCCAATACATCAAATATCATCCCACCTTCCATCATGTGGACAGCCCTAAGACACCTATGTAAAAATTGTTTAAAATGAGCCTGAAGCTTTGGCACAAAAATGAAAATGCCCTCAAATTTCTGGTAGTTGGACGAAATCCTGGATGTAGTATAACCTATAATATGATCAAATCTATGTCTTCCGCAGAAGATTACCTCGGGAAGTTCGGTGATTCTGTTCTTGTACAGTACAAGTCGCGTCAAGTTTTTGAGAAATGCGATATTTTCGGGAAGACTGCAAAGTAAACAGAAAATATAACGTGGCGTAATAATGAAATAGAGAAGGTCAAATTAAATGACGACAACGAACATACCAATAAATAAAGAACTTAACTTTTTTTTAAAGAAACGTGTTTTTGAAAAGAATATGAAATCAACAAAATTAATATAATTTAGACTCACCTTAGTCTGGCGACTTGATGCGCCCTATTTTGCAATTTTATTCTGCTTAGTTAACGCAAGACGATTTTATAGCCTACTCGCGCAACAGGGGTGGAAAATGTATTGGACCACGGGACCATTAGTTCCAGAAAACTGTTTTGAGGAATGTTTCCCCAAGAAAGAAAAACGATAATAAATTTGCCTTAGGATCAGACCCTGATATATACATGCATGTTATCTAAATTAATTTTATGTTATATTCCTTATAGCATTTTTAGTATTTATATAGTGCACTGAAACTAATTTTCTCCTGGTAAATACAGTATGACATACAGTTTGAAAACAGTTGCAGCGTCCGAGTATTGATTTATATTACGATGTTCTCTTGCGGTCCCAGATCCAAAAAGTAAAATACTTTTTCCACCCCGGCTTGACAATAGAGAAAGCCACGGTGCTGGCACTCGGAATTATAATATACACTGGGGGAGAAATTAAATGTATATTATACTTTTGGTTTCTCGAGTTTCAATTTCAGAGAAACAGTGAGATTCGAGAGGGAAAAAACACTAACTATTTCCCGAGGGAACAGACTTTTAGTGGGGTTTTTTTTTTTTATCTAGCGACAAAGAAAAAGTCAACAATTGCATTTCATGACAAAAATTCTATAGAACATAGTGTAAACGAGTTTAAAATTAAAAGAAGCTACTTAAACGGTTTCGGCAGCATATCCTGTTGCCTGTTGTGTATCTCTCTTCTCTTTTACACAAACTTGGAAAATCGTAGTTTATAAACTTGCGAGTTGCGCCGCCATTTTGTTTATTTATGTACTATTTATTAAAAGCACTTGTAGTCGTGTTTTATCAGATATAAAACGCGAGGCGCAGGCTTTAAAATACGACTACAAAAGAATACTAATTAGGATGAGCCTTGTCAGATATAAAGTCACTCCACGTGACATGTTATGGCTGACATGATTTGCCACCAGGTTTATGAATTTTTAATGAGTATTTTAAGTACTTATGGGGGGGGGGGGGCACATATAGACGTCGCGGGGCGACGATGTGGCCACAAATCACCCAATCGCTAAATCACGTTTGGTGTTCACCCGAGCTATATATAACAATTATCATTTAAATACACCTGAAGAGAAGGGGATGTGATGAAGTGATGATCATCACCGAGGGTAATATTTCGCCGAATCCCCCGAGCGAATCGAGGGTCTATAAATGATATATTACACTGAAAATTAAAAGCCTCCAAGTTAAGAATATAAAACTTGCCACATATAATTTCGTGCATACGATGGGGTTATTTTTAATTAATTTAATTAATGCAAGTATTTGGCACTTTTCCGTCGAATCACATATCGTTTGGAATATTAATGAAAATATTTTTCAAAATTTGCTTCAAAATTTTCAAAACAGTGCTTTCTTTGAAGTTTAAAGGCCCATTTAATTGCGATTTTCTCCTTTTGGAGGATGTGAAGGAGTAGATTACTTACTCCGAATGTTGTTGTTATGAGACTGATTTCATAACCTGGAACATTTATACCTGATCTACTCCTTCACATCCTCCAAAAAGGAGAAAATCGCAATTGAAATCGCAGCAAAAATCACCCGACGTGTAAATAGGCCTTAAAACTCATTTAAAATTTTTGCCTGCTATTTTGTTTGCGTGATCGCTGCGCGTGGTTTACGCGAATCATATATTACCCGTGTGATATGATTAAAACTACCCGTTACGTCAAATACGATGACGTATTAAGGCGTGATTCGATGATAAATTTTAGGGTTGCACCGGATTTCAAATCCGACCGGAATTCCGGCCGGATTTAACGAATTTTCCGGCATCCGGTATCCCGCCGGATTTGGAGAAAATCCGGCCGGATTTAAATTTCTGTTTTCACCTTAAAAAATTCACCAAAAATGGGATGATAAACCATTAAGTTATTAACAAAAAATATTTAAAAAAGCTTTAAACACAATCAAAAATCTAAACTGACACTAACTAAAAATAGTAAAAAACATAAACCGCCATTTTCAATACTGATTTATCCACATTTGTCCCCATTACCAATTTATTTTAAATCCGGCAAATCCGGCAGGAATTTTTGTCCAAATCCGGTAAATCCGGTTCCGGCAGGATTTGAAAATTCCAAATCCGGTCACCCCTAATAAATTTCATGCTCACGTGGCACAAACGTACTGTATAGCTTTCCGATTGGACACTTTGAATCTGAGGTGTCATATACCTTTCTATGGAATTGTCAGCCAAATGTATATCAGTTAAAGTAGTCAGGTGACATATCTCATCTGGGACACCACGAAGTTTATTTTTGTTGGCACTCAGAAATTGCAGAGATACCAGCCTAAGAATGGCACAATATTTGCACTGAGTAACTCGGCACAATGTAAAGAGACCGCTATAAATTGTCTAGTTCTTATAAAATGCTAATCGTAAATTCCTACAAAATACCTGTCAATTTCTGGAGGCAAAGATGTTAGCATGTTTTCGTTAAGGTTTAAAAATGTTAGCTGTTGTAAGTAACCTGAAATAAAAAAGATCATTATTTATATGTAAATAATTTCCAAAGGCTGTTGCTCACGACTTGTTAACAAGTTGTTGAATTGCAGGACGATAACAAGTTGTTGGAACAACTTCTCACAAATCTGTTGAATTGAACAACGTTGTAGCAAGTTGTCAACAAGCCGTTGACAACTTGTCAACATGCAAACTGGGAACAAACAGTGCGAGCATATGTTGATTAACAAGTTGTTGAAACAGCATCACATGGTATAAGTCTGCTGCAGGTTTGTTACAAGTTGACCGTTTTTACATGCAGTCGTTCCGCAATGATATGATACACGAAAACCCGTTCCAGTATTTTAAGTTCAGTTGTAGCATGTACTTTTGATTTAGTATTCATCGTATTCTTGGTCAGGGCTGTGCTCCCATGCAGACAATTATACTAATCAAGGAGATAAAATTTGTATGTTAAATTTAACAAAACATTTTCCGTGTTGATATACAGTTATATCAACACGAATGAAAACTGGGAAAACGAGAAATTGTGTGGAAACACGACGCCAGAAGGGCGGAGTGTTTTCACACAATTTCGAGTTTTCCCAGTTTTCATTCGTGTTGATATAACTGTATATCCATACGGAAAATATGTTTTATATTTGTTTTATAATATAACACAAAGAAATATAAGGAAAGAAATTTTCCGACGTTTCCGTGTTGACATCGAGTTATATTCTCGATTTACATAAACTTTAACTTTGATTTTCTCGACTTACACAACGTATTTTTTGAAAATTACTTCGCCAATGAACTTACTAGATCGATCATTTTTGAAGCAATTTAAAACATTTGCAGTGCGTGTTTTATCAGACCTAAAGATAGTCGGCTTCCCCTCGTATCTTTATATCTGATAAAACATTGCTGCTCTTCTTTTAAATAGTACATAAAAGTTTTAAATATCCCAAGAAAGAAACAAGCTAACTAGATACTAGTTTACTTGGTAAAGTATTTTACTAGTCATTTTATTTTTTACTGAATGCAATCATAAAAAATGGTGTGAAATTTCGTTGCAAATTAAGCACTTTAAAAGTGCCCTTTTCCAATGAATTGGCATTCATCACTTGCCTCAGAATTCAGGAGATGGTATTGTGCTCCCCACCCAACCCAGTACAATTTTTGTTCATTACAATATATTGTACCATATCACGATGCGTTTCTAAGTTCTAACCTCACAAAAAGATACAGGGTACACTACTGAAAGGTGTCCCTTTTTAGCAGCTAGGCCCCTTCCCACTTTTGATGATGATGATGATGATAATACTTTTACTTAATTAATATTTTTACCATACTTAATTAATGGAAGCTCATATATTCAAACATATCTATACTTACATATAATTCTAGGAGATAATGTTATGATATTATTTGAAAACAAATGAAGCTTTTTCAGATTGATAAGGCAACATAATTCTGCTGGGAGTTCGTCCAAGAGGTTATTGCCAAGATTCAATGTTTCAAGCTAAAAGCACAGATCGAATCAAGTCAGTCTAACATGTTACATCATGAGGCAAATTGACAGAGCCATGCGCATGTTTATCGAAATTAAGCAACCACAAAGAAATTTGAGCATATGGCTTGCATTCTTTTCCGGCACTTTCAACATACAATTATAGACTAGCTTGAACTCAACCTATGTATAATAGCTCTGCTGAGTTTAGTTGCATGGTAATTCTGCACCAATGGAGAGCAAAAATACGAATTTCCCATGTCAAGGATCTTTGGCGGAAGGCTTAACTGAGCTTATTAATTAGCTTAGTTAATGCAAGGCTTAACTAACGTTATCTAAGCTTATTAATCCTGTTTAAACAAAGAACTTATTAAAGGAAATCAAGTTCTATATTATTAAAAGTAACTTATAAAGTCCGTTCTGCGCATCAGTTCTGCTCATAACAAAGGGCAATCCCATAGATATAAACAATTGCCCAAATTTTGCATCTTTCAAACTTTTTTGAATTGAAACGTCTAGATTACATCCATTTACAAGCATAGCGAACCAGAAAAGTGTTAGATATTCAGTTAGTATATCATATTTTACAAATATAGCACTTCAAAATGTAAACAAAGCGTTTGTTTACATAATTCAATCCGGATTTAAGAGTCCAAGATCAAGAGATTAAAACATGGACTTTTCAAATTTTACATTCTTCAATCACTAAATAAATTACAATTGCTACATATATGAAGATTGCTGTCTATGCAATTAAAAAAAACTACAATAATATACACAAATTATAAAATGTTTCCATTTTTATAGCGTCCGTAACCTAGCAACAAGCATACCTGACAGATCGCGGCGAATTCCGCAGGCAATGTGCGGATTTTATTATTTTTCAAGTCCAGCATCTTCACATTGGAAAGCTTCCCAACCAAATTGGGAACTCCGGCGAGATTTTTATTGCTTAAATTCACAGATTTCGCCCTTCCTTTAAAAGCATGGAGCAAAATAATATCCGCCATTGTTTGTGAGCCAGCGATGCTGACTAACAATACAACGAGATACTTCATGTCTTAGGTCTTTCGCCTCGCCTGCCTTTTAGGTGTTCCGCGGCGGGCTGACCGTATGCACGCAGGCTACATTGTTATTTTGAAGTATGGCATTTATTAAACTTGCTCATACGTGGATGTTGATTGGTTGATATTCGGCAACTTTTCCAGTTTTGTTCCATTTTACTAAATTAGATACGTCAAAAGCAATAACACAAATATAGTTCGAAAGAAAAGAAAATATAATTTTATAAAGAAAATAATTGAAATTCAGCGCTGTTCAATAATAACTTATTTAGTTTATGTTTAAAAGTGTGTTTTGCTGTGGTTTGTACGTAATTTAAAGACGCAATGAGCTTTAAAAAGTCTGGTAGTTCAAATATAAAATCATTTGTGAGCGAAGAAGAAGCACAAGATATAAACGAGAAACGACAGCAAGAATGGGAGAGAGTCAGACAACCTGACGACCCTTTAGGTAAGACATATATATATGATACATTTGCAGGACTACATCATCAAACTACCCGAATAATATACAGTGAATGTAGCTACCAAATGTCAATAGCCCTACAGACAATAGCTGAAAGCATTTAGATTCAGAGCAAAATTGTAATTTAATTGCCCATAGCAAATTTAGCATTTTAGTGCAGTGTGCCAGGGCCCGGAGTGCTGGACAGCCGGAGTTCTGCCGGTACTCCGGTGGTTTTTGGGTCGGCCAGCAGGCCGGAGTTGCAATGTTCTCTCCAAGCTCTGGCTTGAAAGTCAGAATGAGAAGAAATTGTGAACTGTTTGTGCCAGCTGAGCAGGTAGTATGTGTGCCATGAATAATAACAAAATTTTTGTTTTTAGAAATGCCTGAGAAATACAAGGAGAAATTCGACGTTTTGAGTGAAGGACAAATTCCTCCTTGTATTTTTCTAGTAGTATCCCTACAATTGAAAGTTTTGTTAGAACGAGAAAAATGTGACAATTTAGTAGAATTAGCATTGGTTACAAATAATGGCAACATTGAATTTGCTGAAGGTATACATATGATCTGAAGTCACATCCGCAGGGCTCGAGTTTAGCGGTGGCCACTGGCCATCGATGCCCTGCTTGTTGGCCGCTATGCCCTTTGAAATATACTGAAATCCATGGCCAGTAGTGGCCTGCCTTCAACCCCAGACTACAGTACTTAGGCTTTAGAATACCAAGTGTATGATTTGTAAAATTGGAAATAAATTTAAAATAGTATTTAAATGCACCTTTCCGGCAGTCTGTTTTTAAAATCATGTAATAATGTATTAAAATATCCATTGTTTTGTTTGGCATTTTTTTTAATATTGTTGCTGTTCTGTATATTTTTCTTGTCTCATGGTAACTCAAATGTTATTTGAAACTTCAAAATAGCAACTGAATTAAATTTTCAAACTTAGCTTTGAATCCTGATGCCCTGTGTACTGGCCTTGATGCCTTGAAAAACTTAGTAACATTCAAGGACAAACTGGCCTTGCTTTTCTTTCGCAGCATGCATCTGTTGTGTCAAACCAAGTCATTATGTCTGTGATTTATCTATCACAGGAAAAGTTTTATTAAATTGCTGGTGTCATGCTTTAATTTATATGCTGTGCCATCATGTCATCTTACCTTGGGGACAACATTTTAAAATTAAGGTGAATAGTATCCACCGCCACTATCTGGTTACAGACTTTATCCCCTGTGCTCTGAATCAGTGTGGATTTTGGAGAAAGAAATTTTAGAGCGTAAATTATGTACATTTATGTACATGTGAAAATACAACTTCAATAAGCCATCTGGCAGGCATAGAACCTGTGGCCCTGCTATTCTGGTGCTGGTAGGGGGGTGCTCTGCCAGCTCTGGTGCTGTGTTGTGTTGGCCATGTTGCCGAGTTGTGTTGGCCATGTGTGCCGCCCGCCCATCAACTTGCTTCACTACTGCAAAGTCTTGCTTGACTACTGTATTTGAATTGTAATTGTTGTTCACAGTTTGCTTATTATCATGTTATTACTCAAATTACTGTATCTCATTTTGCCTCTAATAACTTTTTGCTTTATCATGAAAATAGCACCCCACCCCCCCTGCCCAGGGCTAGGGGGGGGGGGGGTGCACACCCTCCCGCACCTCCCAGTAAATCCATCCCTGCCCTACTTTATTATTTTACTCTGTCTAAATGCCAGGCTATTTTTCTCTGTCTAATGCCAGATGATTTTACTTGATCATCAAAGGAAGAGCAAGCTCAATTGGTTAAAATTCATTAAATGAATATATTTCAGAGTGTCCAGATGTGGAACCACGTAGTTTGTTTGAACAACTTCAGGAACAGAAGGAAAAGACGCAACAAGAACATGATGAGAAATACGATATAAGTAAGACAGATGAATAATGAGTTCACTTCTCTGCTAATCCCCAAGTATAGTACTACAGACATCACTATACTAACCTGAGTAACCTCCCGATGAAGGGTCTTGTATTTTTTAGGTATTTGCATCCCTATCAACCAAAGTTTTGCAATAATTAAAAAAAAAATAGTGCACTATATCTAATTGTTTTCTGCACTGTGACCTATGTGTGAAATTTTGCACGCAAAAGCCTTTCAATCAATGTACCAAAAATAAAAAAGTTCATGTATTTTTGCCGAAAAAAAATTTATGGAAGGAAATGGTATTTTCCCGTTTTTTAATAAGAAATAGCATTACAGAATTTTTTATATTTAAATTCGCATATTGTTTGTCTATGTTGTAAGGAAAATTATAGTGCACGAAATTATAGTAACTGTGCTTCTTTTCCAACTATACACAAAGCAACATTCTATTTTAGAGTTAATTTTGTATGCATGTGTTGCATTAAGCAACGAACTGTACTGTGTTACCAAAACTGACATAATTTGAAAGCAGAAACATTGATTTAGAAATAGATGAACATCCTGATATCTGCTGCATAAAACCTAAAAATATGACGTTTAAAACTATCAGCTATTATATGCACCCGAAGTTTTGCAAACTGGATCGAGCCCTACTGCTTTCCAGTGAAATTTAGCTTTTTCATAAGTATAGAATTTAAGGATTTTTTTGAGGACATGCAGTAGTATATATCACAAAGATCTTCCCTCAAAGATGCGGGAAATATTCTTATTGTGAAAATTCTCAGAGTAACCTAGTAATGAATAATTAAGGCATGGTTTTTTTTCTATTTTGACATTGAAGAAAAAATGTTCCGTGGAATTGACAATGATGAAGCTGTATTTCTCGAATTTGCTTCAAAACAACAAGCCGAGATTGATGGCAGGAGATTTGCTGTCACTGCAGAAGTAAAAGAATTTAGAGTATCCTTTTTTTGACCATGAACACCTCAAATTTGAAATGTTACATAGTATTCAGGCAGGCAGGCAGGCAGGCAGGTAAAGAAAGATGAATGCCCCTACAAAATATTGTTTTTTAAAGTTTATGTCCTACAACCGCCTGTAGGCCCTGTACAGTTGTACTGTACCTCTGGTTGGCTGTTTCTGGTTGGCTATTTCCGTTTTGATTGGTTAATGCTAAATAGATAGTGATATATTTAGTGTTTGTAACACAAATTAGATTGCCGTAATTTGCGCGTGTTTTTATGCCTTTGGTCCGTTAAAGTTTTCGTTTGCTGCGAATCTAGGAGTGGCATGTAGATTTATAGTACATGTGGGGTTTACAAATTGGACTGGCCAGTTAAAATTAATATATACAGTAAGTTAGATTCTTTTAACACCGTGAAATCAGAATGAGGTTTCAAAGCTCCAGACCGTAGCCAGCCCAGCAACCTCTGTGACGGAGGAGAAAAAGAAACCAAATGTATCACTGGGGAAGAAGAAATCTCAAGTGGAACTCTTGGCAGGATGTATTAAAACCAAACGAAAAAGGCGAGTTCATCGATGGTGTTTTCTCGTGCATTTTGTCCCAGAATAAAGGCCACACACAGACGGGCAAGTTTTCCTTGACGAGTTTTATTTACTCGTGTGTACGGCAAAAAATTGGCAATTTTTCCTTGCCATATGGAGCCTTGTTCCAAAGCTAGTCATACCAACTTTCGGACAAGGAAAATGTGATTTTTTCTGTGGTGGTGTTGTGTATAGTCAGGTTAATATGATGTTTGTGGTGTTACTCTGAGTGTATATCCACACCGAGCAAGCTTGAAAAATATGCCTGACCACGGTGGGAATCGAAAGAATACTAGCCTTTGGAATACTAGCCCAATACTCTGCCAACTGAGCTACGCAGTCAGGACTGTTCGAATATGTGATCAGATTTCGGAACTGAGTCTAGTTTCTTTGATATTATCAATGTAATCTAGTAATATGATTTTTCTGTGGCGGTGTTGTGTACTCAGCAGTGGCGAAGCTAGAAGTCGTGCTGGTCGTGCTGAGCACGAGTAAAATTTTTTCAAAGAAATTAATTTTTTAGTCTTAAAAAAAATTCCCCCAAAATTTTAAAAATGATTCATCGTACACTTGCGTCATCTATTAAGTGCGAAATCCTTTCAAATCCGGTGATTTTGCGCTGATTTTAAACCAATTCAAGGTATGATTGCGTAGTTTCACCCGACCGCGGGTTAAAGCACGACTAATGGGTAATCCGCCCGTTAGTAGTGCTCTCGTCAGGCCAGCACGACTAAATTATAAATTCCAAAGCATTCTATTGGCTAAATTGCTCCTCGCGCATGCGTATCTCGCCGAATTTTATCTTCTGGTCGTGCTCATCTTCGAAAGCACGACCAAGTTAAATGCCGTAAATTATTCAGCAATTCTGTCGAGATTTATTCAAGTGATCTTGGTTATGTATCTATGGAAATTGACCAACGTCAATCGAGTGAATAGTAGGAAGGCCATGTTGATTTGGATAGAATATTTCTGGCTTCTAACAAGATATTTTAGCTCACGAAATGCATGTGAACAGACTCGATTGTGTATTCTACTGTATTATAATGGCGAATATAAACAAGATTTGTGAATACCTTTCCTATTGATATAAATATATTAACTACCAGTTCATTTGCTTTATTCAAAAGTGCTTATATAATTGGAGGTTTACAGATATACCAAATATCTAAACAGTGTATCTTTCAACATTAGGTTTCTGCTTCAGATTTACAAGGTCCTTGTAGACACTATACTATAGTACATTACAGTTGACCTTTACGCAATTCCAAATGAAAGATCATATTACAGCACTCAGCAGGGTATTAAAATGTACACATACAATATTCTCCTCTTTCTTCTGCCAATATTGGCTATATTGAGCGACATTTGCAGATAAGTTTAAATATATAGTGAAATAAAATTAAATTTTGTGGAAATACAAATTTCAAAAACAAGAAGTATTAAGAATTTTCCTCTTTATATCACACTTTTTTTGTAGCTTTCTTTGCATGAATTTCACCCTGAAATCGCAGGAAATGGCCATTCCAGACTTTGAAAATCAAAATTTTCCCGGGGGTGCATGCCCCCGGACCCCAGGTGAATATGATCAAAATCATATTACTAGATTACATTGATATCGAAGGAACTAGACTCATGCAGTTCCGAAATATCACATACTCGAACCGACCTGACGGGGCAGCTCAGTTGGCAGAGCATTGGGCTAGCATTCCAAAGGTCGTAGTTTCGATTCCCACCGTGGTCAGGCATATTTTTCAAGCCTGCCAGGTGTGGATATACACTCAGAGTAACATCACAAGCATCAAGGAAAATGTGTTCGTGTGCATACGGCCGCCAAGGAAAACCGCCCTGTAGCTATTGTTCATTAATCAAAGTAATTTTTCAATTGCATAGAAGTGAAGCTGATACCAGCGAAGACGAAAAATCCGACGATAAATTATTAACTACTAGTCCAGGTACAGATGCCTAGTGCTGTGAGTAACTTAACATTACACGTTTACATGCATGCTGTGATTTTTCGTGTACGATTTTTACGTATTCTAGCGTTTGTAGTCGAATAAGCACGCGTATAAAGAAGTGGTTGCATTTCAAATTTCACCATAATCTGAATGAAGAGGAATTGTGACTTCAGCAGCAAATTTCATACGCCAGAATGAAAGTTTTTAAAAAGTCCTTGAATTTCACCTTCACCAAAGGGTGGACGTGCTGTTATTTTATGAAACAAGTTCCAACAAGAAAATATTTCTTTAAAAAAGAAATAATGTTTCGTTCCAATATAATTGTAGAAATACCAGACGTCTGTAATTAGCGGTTGTGACCATAGATCACTTGTATATGTCGAGCAATGAAATTGGTTCATATATTTTGTGAGGTGGGCGGGTTCTATAAATTTTCATTACCCGGAGGGGCCGAGCGGTCCAGAAATACAGTTGTAGTATTTAAAATGAAGAAAAACAAAGAAAACTATATAATAAATATATACCGCTGTTGAAATACAGTTGTAGTATTCAAAATGAAGAAAAACAAAGAAAACTATATAATAAATATATTGGCGCTTGAATACTTCAAATATAAATCATCGTGCCTGTAGATTTTGACCTGAAGTTCAGGCCCTAGATTTTGATTGGTTGCAAGTTCACATAAACAACAGTTTTAAAAATAGCTCGGTGAAGGGCTCAAGGGGACAATAATAATATAAAGGTCAAATGCACGTAACAAATCCATTATCGATTTCTTCGAATTTCTTTTCTTTTATGCTTTATGGCAGAAAATAAATCGAACAAATAGTATTTTGAAGGTCTTTATCAAAATCTTTGACGAATTTTGGACACACGACGCCGAAAGAACAGCCAAACTAGTCATCTATTCGAAAGTTTGTTGTTGACAGCCAAGATGTTCTGCCAACTGGCTTCGCCGGCAAAAGTCTTATTTTTAATATCAGGTCCTGCCGGCGTTGTTTTCTGAGCTACATCGCCTTCTTCGTGGTACGATTGAGAATTTTATTGTTGTTGTTGTTAGCCCGTTAAAGTATATCCTTGGTATATATCCGCGTCCAGCAAGTTGAGACCTTGAGAAAGCTTGGCAGTCAAGCTGTACACAGAACTGAATAATTGAATCTTCGTTTGCTGTTCGGTTAAATAGAGAAACTGACTCTTAATTATATAAAAGTACCTTGAATTTTTAAGTTTAATTAAAAAGCAAAATGCGCACTCTGCGGACATGTTCATGAGAATATAATTTTTTTGTGTAACGAAATCTATA